TTTTTCCCTATTTAAAAAAATACATTAAAAAGACAAAAAGTTTTAGCATGAGGTTGCTTTCTGTAACAACTCAAAGCTGTAACCCTGTTATAGTGCCAGATCCAAGTCTCTCCCGTGATGCTAGAAGATTTTATTTTTCTCTGTTTTCACCAACATGGAGTTTGTGGGGGTGAGTCCAGTTATACATAAAAGGGTTTACAGATTGTTGGTTTAAAATTATGGATTCCAATTATTTTGAATCACAGAATAGTTTGGGTTTTTTTATTTCTGTAATCATTCATGAAAGACTTATTAATATTTCTTCTTCCCTTTTTTTTCCATTTGCTAAAGTTGAAACTAACAGTGGGAATTTGGGACATGTTATCCCATTCTTCCAACTAGGACCTGCTTATTAAATTATCTGACAGAAGAGATTTGGCTTCCTTCCCCAAAGTAAAGATCCCTTGATCAGAAAGGAAAAATACAGTATTTTGAGAAGCTATAGCTACAAAATGCTTGAGATGCAGATGTCAGAATCATTTTACTCAAGACTCCAATACTGCTTAAAGGAATACTGTATGACTTAGCCTTACTTATGAGTAGATAATACTGTTTGACTTTATATACAGTCTAGAAATCACAAATCAATGAATTAATTCCTCTCATAAATCACCCATCTTAAACTTATGAAGAAACAATGAACTAGTCAATGGCCTGAATAAGGCAATAAGTTACCAGGCTGGATGGGTGCATTTTAGTATTTTATCTATTCATTTTCTTGCTCGGGGCTGGTAGGTTGGATTATGAACAGTTACAAGCAAATGATCTGGTAGGTGTTTGATTCATTTGAGCCAAACCAATTTCTGAATGTAAAGGAAGAAATAATGAGCATGGGTAAGGCAAAAAGGATGAATAGTAGCATCTGAGAAAGAATTCAAGAAATGCAATAACAGAAAGACACGGGTGACATTTTGTGACTCGTTGAATAGTAGAACCAATGTGACATCCACAGTAAGAAACTCTAGGAGCAAATGTGCACCATTTACTCTCAAAGAAAAGGTTTTACATAGGCAAACATGTCAGAAACTATATTTAAATCAGTGACTTCATATAACAATAAAAAAGATAGAACCTACTGAGTAGGACAATGGATGTGTCTATTTTCTGCCTAATAATTGCTGTGAAGATTTATTTGACCAACCTGGCATTTTATCCATCAGCTTCCCTTGAAATGCATCAGAAACCAGAAGAAAGAATAGTCGTGTGGAAACTTACGGTATTTTCTTACATGTTTGATAGTGTTAGATAGTGATTGAAGTTCTGTAGAAAGAAGTTAACAACTGGTTAGAACAACTTTAACAAGTGAAACATGTTTGTTTTTTCAACTTGGTTTAAGTTTTTTATAAAAATTAACAATAAAGAACATCTCTACATATTAAAATTCAGGTTCTTAAAAATACGTGTCTAAAATAAAATTTATGTAAATCATTAAGTTATTAGATTTGGCCTTTAAAACAAATGTTTTTTCAAACCACGGAAAAATTATAATGAGTAAATGCTCTTCCTTTGTATGGAAATGTGGTTCTCGATAATGTTAATAACCACAACAATGAAAAACCTGAATCTTTGTAGCAGTAAAAGAGAGAAACACAGGATAAATGTCTTCTTATGGGGATACGTGGTGGAACCCATCATGCCTTCACTCTCAAGGTTAACGACACAAATTAAGCTTTTTGAACACCACTTTTGTGGGGACATCCATACGCTGATCTAGAAACTAAAGCTTCATAGTTCCAGTTCTAGATCTATTCATGCCAGTTTCTCTTGGGCTTTAGCCTTTGAGAACCTGTTAAAGGAGACATAAGTAATCCAGAGCTGTGAAGAGTTAAAAGGCCAACTTCTCCAATGAACTCACCCTCTCTGGGTCACCTGCAGCCAAGAATTGGGTACCTTATAATGATGCAGGAAAGATCCGAGTTTATGATGAGTTTCAAAGGCCATGTTCATTTAGGAACCAACTCTCTCTGGATCCTCCTACTGAGTTCCAGCAGGGTGATGGGCTGAAATCCCACCCACAAGCAAGACACCTGTGTAACACCAACTACCTGTGGCTGAAGAAGGTCAAAGAGAGAACTTTCTTAGATGGAAGACTGTACTAATGGTAGCTGGCTTCTTCAGACACTCCTGTTAGTGGTACAGCAAGAAATGGGATCATCAACCAAAATATAACATGTCAGTAGTAGTAAAGAAATAATCTCAATGTGCTTAATTCTGGCATAGCTATCATTATAGTTTTTCTCATATTTCTCATGCCCCAAAAAGGAGGTAAATAAACTATTCATGGTCTAAGTAGCCAACATAAATAAATAAAGTAGATTCATGGCTTGGAAAGGCAAATTCTAGGCACTCCTTCCAAGATCGATGTGGTAAAATCAGCATTGATGTTTGTTTTTCTAGGCCTAGGAGTTTAGCCTCTGTGTGTAGGTTGAGGCCAAGTCCCTCTGCCAGAAAAGGCTTATTTTTAAGCTCAAAAACTGTCCATCATGAAAATCTACTTCAACTTTAGCAAAAAGAAAAAAAAATCAACAAAAAGTATACTCTGTATGCTGGGATTCCAAGGTTCCAACACTCTGCTACAAATCTGTGGGGGGGTTTCTTTCTTCTGATAACTCTAGAGCCTGTCACCATAGAAAGGCATTTCTTCAATGGCTGATTGTAGTTAGTTCATGTTTTTCAATCAAAATTTGCAAATGTATTTGTTGCTGTATAGTGATTGTTTTGCAAAATAAAATTGCTTGTCATCTGACTTATCGTTTCAGATTGTTTCTTCTCTGGGAAAAATTGTGTGTGTGTGTGTGTGTGTGTGTGTGTGTGTGTATCCCTTATTTGTATAGGTATGCAATACAGTGGGGCCTTGACTTACGAGTTTAATTCGTTCTGAGACCGAGCTCATTAAGGAACTCATTAACTCAAATTACTCTATCAACTCAATGCAAAAAATCGGCCGGGGCCGAAACCGGTTTGGCTCAGTGGATAGATCGTCGACCTGCGGACTGAGGGGTCCCAGGTTCGATTCTGGTCAAGGGCATGTACCTGGATTGCAGGCAGTAGGAGATGTGCAGGAGGCAGCTGATCGATGTTTCTCTCTCATCGGTGTTTCTAACTCTCTATCTCTCTCCCTTCCTCTCTGTAAAAAATCATTAAATATATTTTTTTAAAAAAACATCGGCCGAGAGACAGCTGGTATCTCAAAAAACTCGGTAGTCGGGACACTCGTAAGTCAAGGCCCCACTGTACATATTGTTCAATCCAAGCAAAGAAAAATTTTAAAGAGAAGGCTACAATTATCTGCTAAATTCCTACCATGTATCAGACCCTTTCACTACTGTATTGGCAGAAGGCTATCTGTTGCAAGTGACAGAAACTCAAATCAAATTGGCTAAGCATAAAGGCAAATTCATTGACTCAAGTAACCAACTAGTCAGGAGTATGGCTCAGGCATCAATGAATTCAGGCACTCAAAGATGTCATTCGGAATCTTTCTTTTCCTGCTTCCTCTGTGTTGGTTTCATTCTCAGGCAGGCAACCCTTTCCGGATGGTCACTAGAAGCTACAGGTTGCACAACCTGCAAAGAAAGCCTTATTCCAGTAGCTCTCTAGCCAAAAGCCAGGGTCTGAAAAATCATTGAATTACTTGAGTCACCTGTTCCCTTGTGCTAATTGGCCAGGCTTGAGTTATAGATCCAACTCTGTCACAGGTGGTTGGACTGCATGAACAAATCATGGAGAGGAAATGTTCCCTTCGAAGTAAAAGTCTGCTACTGCCAGAAAAGAGAGGATTTAATGCTGTGCAGGTCATAAAAACATACATCCTCTACATCCATACACTGTATTCCCTACCTTTATTCATCCTTTAGTTTTTTTGCTACTCAAACTGTGTTTAGGCTTCACCTGGGAGCTGATTAAAGATGCAAATTTGCAGTCTACATTCCAGACCAATTTACAACCTCTCCCTAGGTCAGTGGTTCTCAACCTTGGCTGCACATTAGAATCACCTGGGGATCTTTTTAAAATCCTGATTTCTGGGCCTCATCCTCCAGAAATTCTGTTTCCTTGTTATGGGGTGGGGCCACAACATTAGTAAAGAAACAGAATTTTTGGAGGATGATTTTAAAAAGATTCCCAGGTGATTTTAAAAAGATTCCCAGGTGATTCTAATGTGCAGTCAAGATTGAGAACCACTGCTGTGATTCATCTACTCATTAAGTTTGAGAAGCACTCAGTTTATCCAATCCTTTCTAATGTGCTGAAGGAGAAAGAACTCCGTTGCAGCCCACAAACAGGTAAGAATTATTCCTAAGACTACTTGACTATAATGCTGCAATAAACATAGGGACACATATATCTTTAAGAATAAGTGTTTTCAATTTTTGTGGCATGGATACCCAGAAAAGGGATTTCTGGGTCAGATGGTAGCTCTAAATTTTCTGAGGAACCTCCGTACTGGTTTCCATAGTGACTGCAACAGTTTTCATTCCCACCATCAGTGTACAAGTGTTCCCTTTCTCCACATTCCCTTCAACATTTATCGTCATATTGGAAACAGGCATTGTCGTGAGTGT